TGCCCAGGCGGGTCTCAAACCCGCGGGCTCACGTAATCCACTCACCTCAGCCTCCCAAAGGCGTGGGATTACAGGCTGAGCCACCGAGCCCGGCTCTTGGCTCCATTTATATATGCTATATACATGTAATCCTTTACTTTCTCAATGAGAGGTTACCCCCAAGAAGGTTATCTCTCTTTTTTTTTTTTTTGTCTTCTTGAATATTGTGAATAAAATAGCTAAATATTTATGCATAACATCTAAATTGTGAATCATCATGTGTATATTATTTTAAGTAATCTATAAAATGGTATTTGGATTTAGAAATAGTGCTTTTAACGTCATGTATTTTATGAAACAGTTTATTCACACCTCACATGCATCTTTGATCAGCTTCCATTTCATCATTCCTACCACTTTCTGGGTCATTTAACATATAATATTCCAAAGCACGTCATATAGTGTGCTAACTAAGATCTTTGAAATGTAGGTATTTAGGATCATATGGGAGTTTATATAAAGCTTTTACTGGAAATTGTATCCTGAGATCCAGGTGGCCATTGGCATGCCATTGGGATAGGTATATGTGTCTGTGTGTGTTTTAATTTATCATATAACTGTGTTTTCTGATCTCTGTGATGAATTATTTTCTAAAGTGATCTTATTTATTTATTTATTTTTGGGAAGGAATTAGAGGTTTCACTCTGTCACCCATGTTGGAGTACAATGGCATGATCACAGCTCACTGCAGCCTCGACCTTCTGGGCTCAGATGATCCCTCTGCCTCAGCCTCTCAAATAGCTGGGAATACAGGTCTATGCCACCACAATCAGCTAATTTTTTTTTTTTAATTTTTTGTAGAGACAGTGTCTCTCTATGTTGCCTAGGCTGGGCTCAAGGAATCCTTACCTCCTAGGTCTCCCAAAGTGCAGAGATTACAGGCAAGAGCCACTGCACCTGGCCTATTTTCTAAAGGGATCTTTAAGAAATTTGTTAGCAGGAACATTCAGTGCTAAAATGTTTTAAATACATTAGTGATTTCTATAAGTATCCAAATCTGTTGTCATTAGGTACTAGCAGGATGATTGTCTTCTCCAAATAGTATGTTGTTTAAAATTTGGCAACCAGTCATAATAGGAAGAACTTTATACAAATTTAAACATAAAGCAATACCCTCTTTTCTAATGAACACTTTTATGGAAAAACTTATATTATGTTTAAGAATATGTAGTTCTAACCAGGCTTGGTGGCTCAGCCTATAAGCCCGTGCTTTGGGAGGCTGAAGTGAGTGGATTGCCTGAGCCCGCGGGTTCGAGACCCGCCTGGGCAACTTGGCGAGACCTCGTCTCTACAATAAATCAAAAAATTAGCCAGGCATGGTAGCGCGCGCCTGTAGTTCCAGCTACTTGGAAGGCTGAGGCGGAAAGATCGCCGGAGCCCAGCAGGTCGAGGCTGCGGTGGCCGGGAGCAGCCATTGCACTCCAGTCTGGGTGACAGAGTTGAGACTCCAAATCAAAAATAAAAGAATATGTAGCCCTTTATGATAGATTTTAAACTCATTAAAAAGATAGTTATTGATCCTTTTATTAATGAAAAGCAAAGTAAGTTATATTGGATCTCACTTGTTAGATGAATAGTGGCATTTCCTATCTGATTATCTTATTTGCTGTACTTAATTTTCTTTACTTAGATCCCTTTGATTTGAATCATAATCTTGGAGCTGGATTATCAAGGAAAAGTACGTTACTCTATTTGTAAATTTTAAAGCAGTTTCTTTTTCTTTTAATCCATCTACTTGAGTTCTATCTCTTTTCTTCATAGTGACAAATTTTATAATGAAAGCTTTTATCAATGGTAGAAGAGTATTTGGTATTCCCGTCAAAGGATTTCCAAAGGACTCCTCAAAAATGGTAAGTGTGTTGGCAATGCCCCCAAAATAATTTTATCTTATTTTTTTTAATGTAGTAGTAGTAGTAGTAGTAGTAGTAGTAGTAGTAGTAGTAGAAGAAGAAGAGTCGGGTCTCACTGTATCACCTAGGCTGGAGTGCACAATCACACCTAACTGCAGCATTGACCTCCTGGACTCAGGCGATACTCCCTCCTCAGACTCTTGAATAGTTGGGACTGCAGGTAGGCGCCACCATGGCTGACTAATTTTTTTATTTGTTGTAGAGACGAGGTCTCACTATGTTCCCATGGCTGGTCTTGGACTGCTGAACTCAGGAAGTCCTCCTACCTCAGCCTCCCAAAGTGCTTGGATTACAGGCATGAGCCACCACCCAGACCCAAAAAACAATTTTAAAAGCACCTAATTAGTATACATTACTTTGGTAATAGCTTAAAAATCCTGAAAGTCTGATTAATCTAGCCATGCTAAACAATTACAATGCAAAGTAATTCCCAAAGCTCTATTTTTTTTAAACATCCCTGGGTAGAACCATTCATCAGGAGAACAGAAATAGCAAGAAGTGGAGTTTGTATGGGAAAATTAGTCATTTTGCTGCTGTTGCTTTTCCATGATAACACATAGCAAGGAAATGTATACCAGCACTAGGGCAACTTTAAAATGAAAAGAACAAATTAGCTGGGCATGGTAGTGCATGCCTGTAGTTCCAGCTACTTGGAAGGCTGAGGAGGAAGGATCAACTGAGCCCAACAGGTCAAGGCTGTGGCAGCCATGATCGTGCCACTGCATTCCAGCCTAGGTGATAGAAAAAAAAGAAGGAAAGAAGGAGAGAGAGAGAGGGAGGGGAGAAGAGGAAGAACAAACTATACCCCTAAGCCCTGAGGTCACTTCCAAATAGAGAATATGGATTTAAGTTTGCAAAATTCTTGTTTTTCCCCTTGATGCCTTCTGCTTCTGGTTATCTGTCACCCTTTGTAGGTGGCATTACTGTTCCACCAGCATTCAGCTTCATGCTGAGCTCGGCTGAGCCCAGTTAACACATGCCTAGGTACACCCTCCTCCATCCTCATGAATCTAGATTCTCCAGTCTGTTTGCAAAGAGTAGTAGATCCTCTTACTGGACAAGGAGAATGACAGTGCTGCCTGTAATAGAGAGCTGTCTGCTCTCATATCACCTGATACTAGGGCTTTCAGGGAACCATACTCATTGAAAACAAAATCATGTTAAAAAATTGACTTCAGTGAGAAAAATGGTTAGGGACTAGACGATTTTGTTAAGAGTACAGTTTCTTTTGCATTAATTTTCTTTTAAAAATTAATATTTTTAATTGACAAATCATAACTATACATGTACATTTATGGGGTGCAATGTGATGTTTTTATATATGTATACAATATGGACTGATCGAGTCAAGCTATTAACATACCCATCACCTCAATTACTTGTCACAATTTTTGGAGATATGTGAGATTTACTCTCTTAGTTATTTTGAAATAACTATAGTTACCCTGCTGTGCAACAGATCTTAAACTTATTTCTCCTATCTATCTGAAACCTTGTACCCTTTGACCAGCAAACCCCCATTCTCTCTCTACCCACCCAAGGAAGACTTGTCACAAACTTTAAGTGTATGACTGCATGGGCACATTCAGTGTTGGATTACATCTGTACACCTATGTTTTACTAGATATTGCTATGGCTTCTATAGCAGTACTTCAGGAACTCATTAAAACAAGTCTCTTGGAAATTTTGTTAAACTGTAGATTCTGATTGAGCAGGTCTGGGGTAAAGCCCAAGAATCTGTATTTCCAATAAGTTTCCAGGGAATGCTTATGCTGCTGGTACTGTCTTAATTTAGTCACAAAAAGGCTAGAGTCCAAAGCATTGTCTTTCCTTTTATTATTTTTCCTTCAGAAGCCATAACAAAACAAAACAGCAACACATACCTTTTTTCTTTGGGTTATTAATCTGTGTGATGCAAATCATGTTCCTAAATTCATTAGGTTTTAGACTTTTCATTTTATGAGAAAACAAAACTGTTGTACCTGGCCTCAAGCCCCTCCCACATCCTGGGGAAACTGACTGACAGGGATGTGTAATGTGCTTATTTGGAAGTGTGCTTAAACTTTTAGGGTTAGGGTTGAACAGTATTTTACATGACAAAAAGAAATATATAAAGATAAATTTGTTAAAAGTATTCTGAATTACACCTCTTGATGTTTTTAGATTTTCTTTGGATTAAGCAGTATAAATAATATTTATTTTTAAAATGATGTGTCAATGTTGAGATGTAAGGTCACTATTTAATGTCTGGTTAGTTTTGTGTTTGGTCTCATATTAATAGTTGAGGCTTTTGCCTATTTATGTTCTTCTAGGAGTACTTTTTTGATCCCGATGTACTAACAGAAGGAGAGCTGGCCCCAAATGATAGATGCTGTCGAATTTGTGGGAAAATTGGACACTTCATGAAGGACTGTCCTATGAGAAGAAAGTAAGTAAAGATTCAAAGGGAGTGGTTTTGTTTTTAATTTCTTATTGTTCCAGTTTTTATATGAGACAGAGAAAATACACTTGTATGAAATGTAGTTTTCAGATAAATGTAAGGTTGTTGTTGTTTTTTGAATGAAAATGAGATAATTTAAAATTTGAAGTGCAGGTGACTGGGGTTGTCTCAGGAGTACAGGTGACATCTTCCTGGCCTGATTTTCTTTCTAATTTTGGTTATGGCCCTAATCGTTAATTAGCCTCTCTAACAGGGACAGAAGAAGAAAAAAGGAACATAAAATTCTTCCCTTTTGTAGTACTGAGAATTTCAAAATAGTTTCAGCGAACAGTCAAATGAGTTCCTTCAGGATTTCAATTCTATTTCTAATGTACAGTAACTGAGGTATAGCATGTCAGGGTTTATAATTACAGAGTTTACTGGAATATAGGATCCTTTGTATGTACTCAGCTTAACACTTAGGCTGTGAGTAGGTAAGCTACTCAGTTTGGTCAGACCCATGCTTTCTTCAGGAGGCGATTGAGGGCAGGCAAGAGGGACATATTTTTGGTTGCTTATTTGGGACATACTGATGTTTTGGGGAGTGGTGGTTTATTGTTTTGTTTTTTTGTTTTTGTTTTTGTTTTGAGTCAGGGTCTCACTCTGTCGCCCAGGCTGGAGTACAGCGGCATGATCATGGCTTACCACAGCCTCCAACTCTTGGGCTCAAGCGATCTTTCCACCTCAGCCTCCCAAGTAGATGGGATTACAGGTGTGCACCACCACACCCGGCTAATTTTTGTATTTTTGGAAGAGACAAGGTCTTGCTATGTTGCTCAGGCTGGTCTCAAGTGATCCTCCCACCTTGGCCTCCATAAGTGCTGGGATTATAGGCATGAGCCACTACACCCAGCCTAGTAGTGGTATTTTTAACTGTACAATAATGTTTTATTTAAAAACATGCACTCAAACTTGAGGAGCTCTTTTTTTATTACGCAGATAAATGACAGTGATCATTTAGGACAGGGAAGAAATGATTTTGATATTTTTAAGCATGTAAATCTCCTTATAACCATTGTTCCTTTGTGAATCTAAAGTTTCATATCTCAAATTTATAGTACCTAGTAAAGAATGCTAATGCATCAGAAAGACCATATAGGAACTCACTCCAAGGATAATTTGTGTTTCATTACATCAGTATCAAGTAGGCACTGAACCAAGCTACTAATTCCAAAACTTGGTTTTACAGCACTAGAGCAACTTGCTCAAGTTCTTGCTTTTCCCTTTGATATCTTCTCTCCCTTGTTAGCTCCTAAATCTGGAGTTGGCTTAGTGTTTTGCTAGATTTCTGTTTGGATATTTCCTACTACTATGATATCTTCTACAGAATAAGGCGACGGCGAGATCAGGAAGATGCCCTGAACCAAAGATATCCTGAGAACAAAGAAAAAAGAAGCAAAGAGGACAAAGAAATCCAAAACAAGTGCACAGAAAGGGAGCCTTCCATAAAAGAAGATAAGCCCATGCAGTGCACACCTCAAAAAGCCAAGCCAGTGAGGGCCACTGTTGACCTGGGGAGGGAAAAGCTTCTCAGGCCACCAGTGGAAAAGTGGAAGAGACAGGATGACAAAGACTTGAGAGAAAAGCGTTGTTTTATTTGTGGACGAGAAGGGCACATTAAAAAGGAATGCCCACAGTTTAAAGGCTCTCCAGGTATGAACACCTATCACACCTTGATGTTTGCACTAACGTCACAAGGGAAACCTCCTTTTTAGACTTCTTTGCTATTTTGTATTTATTTCTTTATCAAATCTATTTACTCAGAAAAGATTTTGTTTTTAAGAAAGTGAACTCTACCTCACCTTTAATTCGGATCCTCTGTACGTATTAAACACTTATTCCTTATTCCTGGCTTTATGTAGAATCATGAAAGGCATTTGGTGGGCTTTTCTAAGGTTATCAATGAAATGGAAACCTTGTCATCCCCAGTACCTGAAAAATGTAGCCTCAGTGACCAGGGAACAACCTACAACTTGAGCTTTGCTGCTCAATATGTGCACTTTTGAAATGAAATCACTGCCTAGCCAGAGAAGGAGGCAGGAGCCAGAGTTCTCTCAGGACACCACACTGTGTACAGGGGAGCCACGAGGATTGTTTAAATACACACAGGCACATGCATGGGAAAGGGAGAAAAAGGGACACAGTTAACAGTGGTTAACATCTGCCGAGGGAAATATGGAGAACTTTTTCTTTAGATTTTATTACTTTAATTTTCTGCAAGTGAGCATGATTATTCTTATCAGTCAATAGTTCAATACTATCCACAAATCTTGCCCTTCTGAACTGTGGGATACAAATTGGCCATTTTTATTAAATGGATGGAGTGTCTGTTGTGGGCACCTTTTAACAGATTGTTCAGTGCAAGCATACTTGTGTATGCATAATAAGTTAGGATTTAAAAAGCAGTTTGTACATTCTCACTTTGCTTCTCAGAGCAAACCTGTGCAAGTGGATAAAATTTGATTAACATAAAAAAGAAACTCTGAGAAATAGTTTTTTTGATTAAAATAGTAGTAAAGTACTCTGTTGCTCTCCTCAGTTGTATATGTTTGTGAACAACATAAAGAAGGGTCAGTGTTGCCTTGCAATTTCCTTAAAATACCTCCACGTTTATAGTTCTTGGAGCAAGAATACCTCTCTTCAATTTTATGTTAGTATATTGAGCAATATAGTATATCTTTTTATTAAGACAAACGAGATTTGTTTTTAAAGTGGGGCTTAAACTTTTGTGGAAGGTACAGTTCTGGCTAGCTTACACGGGACATGCACCAGAATAAAATGATTTTCTTTTGTGATTATAAGAGGAAAATGTATTTAAAAGAAATTACAGTCATAGCAATTGCTGTAACATTCCTTGAGCATTTACTATGAGTGAGACACAATTTTAGTACTTTACATGGATAATCTCATTTAATTTTCATAGCCGTGCCATTATATGTGATATTAATATCCCAATTTACAGGTAAGGAAACTGTAAATAGTATAGATAAGATCTAAATAGTTTTATCAAAATTATTTTTATAGGCTACCTTCCATAAGAACTCAAAGTCTGTGCTTACTAATAGCTGAGACAGATATTCATTGTGATCTTCTTTGGTTCTACAACCAGGTGGTGAAGTTGCCCAACTCTGATGGGTTTCTCTTTTCTAGCTAGTCGCAAGTTCTAAGTTATTTGTTAGGGAAGCTCTCAAGCATTAAGAACAGCGATTCAGCAGCCTGATGAGGAAGCAACAAATGGAAGAGTGGGGCATCCTGGTTCTGGGGGGATCATCATGCCTAAGGAACGGCACTTACCTAGAAGTGTGGCTTTTGCAGAATGCAGTACTTACACATTTAAGTAGGCATCATGTTAAAAGGTGAAGCAAGAACAGAGGATTGGGGCTAGAGCATGGTAAATTTCCTTCATGAGCAATTAAAAAATAACCAGCTGCTTCTCCCTGTCTAAAATATTATACTGTTCCATCTCGTTTCTTCAGATACGTTCTAATTCTGTTCACACAGTACACTGAGTGGAGCTTCTGTCATACCAACAGGAAGCATTTCTGAAAGTTTGAAAACTGGGCTACTGCTTTTAATTAGAATCGGAACAAAAAGTGCTGATTTTTCTTTTAGGCGTGTCTAAATCAGATCATGTCTTTGGATCCCCTTCTTCACCTAGCCCTATGAGACCAACGGGTACATTTGTTCAGGTAAACCTAGCTGAAAGCTGAGAAGCAGGCCTCTCATCAGTTTCTTCAAGAGACACTGTGTGCTCACAGCTCTGCCAAGTTCTTGGCAAGGGGCAGGTTGTAGCCCTAGTCCCTCCTTCCTACTAGCCCTCTGAGCTCCTCCTTGTCTGTGCCACTCACATGCGGTGTGCAGTCTGTAGTGAAGCTTGCTGGTCACTGGATGGCTGGGCCTTGTGGAAGTATCTTGCAAATGTGTATCGCTTTTCATTAACTTGGAAAATTCATCCACCCACATGCCTAATTTCAGCTCTCCTTGGATATGGTTTTGGTTTTAAGGCTGCTTTAGATACTGTATTTTTCGATTTTGTAAACCAGTCTATTTCATTTTTTAGGCAGTGCTTTTACATGAAGACAAAAAGAAACAAAAAGCAACAATATTTTTGAGTCCCCAGTCAGGTATGTGGGTTGTAAAAAAGACAAATGTGTGTTATTTTATTTACTGTATACTTTACCACATGCCTTTTGAGACTCCTTCTTTGAATAAGTGGTTTTAACAGTGATTGGACATCAGAATCACTTGGCTGAACTTTTAAAAATAGTTACCCAGCCTCCACCTTCATTTTCTAAATCTATTTCTTGAGTGGGAAAGCATGGGCCTGTGTATTTTGTAAATCTTTCAAGTGATTCTTATACCACCCCTGAGTGGAAGCTGTAGTTGTAAATTATTTTTTGCTCCCCATGCTTTTTGTTTCTGCTTTGAAATTGCTGCTGTCTTGACAGTGATGTTTTGCCATCCTAGTGATTATTTGCCATGCACGGAAGTAAGGAAAGAAAGTAACTGTTAGCCTGAAATCCACTCCTTGTTTCTCAGCTTCTTTATTCATTCTTGCAACAATATTTACTAAGCCTCCCCCTCCCTTCCTAAGTGCAGGGCACTGGCCTCAACACTGAGATACAGCCAAGCCCCTTCTGGTTTACTCTGCATTCTTGCCAGAAGAGAGAGACAGGAGATGCATAGATAATATTTTATGTGGCAACGAATACAAAGAAATAAAAGCAGGACAACGGAAAGGAAATGTGGATGAGGCGGCAACCTTTCTGATAAAGTGACATTTAAGTAAAGAATCAAATAGAACTAAGGGACAAGTCAAGGGGATAATTAGCATGAGACTGTTAAGCACAGAGCTAAAAACAGTTCTTGTCCTGCTGCCTCACTGAGGCAGGAGTAGAATGGGCAAGAGGGTGTGTGGTAGTGGGCGAGGTCAAAGAATAGGGGTTTTCCGCAGTGGGCACAACTGAAGTCTTTCTCTGTGAGTGAGGTGAGAGGTTCTTGGAGGTCTTTGAGCTCAGGAACAATGTGATCTGAATTCTGTTTCAAAAGGTTTAGTGTGGATGCTGTGCGGGGACAGTGGTGGAAACTAAGAAACCAACTAGGAGGCTACCACAGTAGTTAGGAGAGGTGATGGCGCTTCAGATCTGGGTGGGCGTGGTGGAGGAAGTGAGGGCTGGACAGGTTCTGGGTGTTTTGAACATAGCGCCAGCAAGATTTAGTGATGGATTCGATGGTAAGGTATGAAAGAAAAGTGACTCAGAGATGACTCTGATTTTTGGCCTGAGCACTGGAATAGAAGCTGAATTTACTGTGCTGGAGAAGACTTAGGAAAAAGAAGATTTGAGGAAAAATCAGAGTTCAGCTTTAGACAATTAAGCTTAAGGTACCTGTTAGATATTCAAGTAGAGCTGTCAGGTAGCCATTTGAGAGACTCTGGGAAGATAAATGAAGGAGACCAAGAGGCAGTGAGGGAGAGGAAGGAGCAAGCGAGTTGGGTCCTGGAGTCCCCGTGGAGAAAGTGCTTCCAGGAGGAGCGCTTGGCCATTTGTGTGAATTACTGCTCACAGGTCTGGTGAGGGCCAGACTGAGAAATCAGCATGAGATTGAGCAACATAGAAGTCATCAGTGGCTTTGAAAAGAGCCGTTTCCTTGGAGGAGAGGGTGGGGAAACTTGATTGCAGTGAATTCAAGGAAGACCAGAAGAGGAACTGTAGGCTGCTGTGGGTGCAGAGCACCAAGGCCACCACCCCACCCAGTCCCCAGGCCTATGGAAAGATGCTAGAAGGGCAGGGGGACTGGGCGATGCTGGAGGCCTTTTGTGGTGTTTCAACTATGCTTCTTAGTCCTGAAAGGGAAGGGAGAGAATTGAGGTGGAAAATAAAAAAGTAACTTTAACATGTGAGTAACTTTTTTAGTAAGAAGGAATGAAACTGTAAAACATGATATAAACATCTGAGTTCTGGCCTGCAGACACCTTTAACGTTGCTTAAGGGATCTCTTGCTCTCTGTCTTTCTTTATCTTGCTCAATAAAAGAAGGGTTAAAGGAGGGAAGTTATATTAACAAATAGAGCATGTGTAGTCTTTTTAAATGATTGAATAGCTCATGAGAAAAGTTAAGTTTTTGAAATTTCAAAACTGCGTTGGCATAACCTGGCATTTATGTGTGTGATAGGAAACAACCCACATATTCTGTGCCCAGCTTTTATGGATCATATTGCCAAAGAGGAAACAATGTTTGCTTTCAGGTTGCAGAGATGCCTGTGTTCCTTTGCGAGGGTGAGGAGGCCCAGTTGTCTGTGTGTGCATCAGTTGTCAGTTACTGAGGAAGCCACACAGATCCCCGGGGATCTGGAGTCCCACAGTAGAGAATGCATCCCCCCCAGCTTCTCTGTCCCAGTCTCACTGGCAAGGACACCGCAGTTGCCCCCTGGGGAAGCTAAGAAGGCTGTGCGGTTGTCCCTATAGTCCATTGTTTCCTGGGGGGGGGGGTTCTAGGACCACACCCCTCTTTTCGCAGATACCAAAATCACCTGATGCACATGTCCTTTACAGTCCTCCATATCTGCAGGGAACCTGACTATACTTTGAATGTTGTTAACAGGAGAAAAATTAATGGAATTATTATTGACTTACTTAAGTTTCTGTTAGTAAC